CCTGGGCCAGGTTGCCCAGAGAAGCTGTGGATGCCCCATCCCTGGAGGGGTTCAAGGCCAGGCTGGATGAGGCTTTGCGCAACCTGGGCTGGTGGGAGGTGTCCCTGCCCATGGCAGGGGGTGGCACTGGGTGGGCTTTGAGGTCTCTTCCAACCCAAACCCTTCTGGGATTTTATGATTCTACCCTCAAGTGAGCAAACTGTTAAACTGCTGATGGGAAAGAACAAGGAGAACCCAAAGCCTGACAGGTCCTGCAAGAAGATGACAAACACAAACCACTTGCATGCTACTGGTGCATTCAGAAGGAGAACCCAACAGTCCCAACACCAAGTCTTCTGCCTTTCAGCCATGCAGCCCGCCACGGTTTGCACCATCCAAGAAGTACCAAGCCTTGCACGCACCTTCCTCCAAGGGCTTATGCAGGACCCGCGCGGTGCCGCGGTCGGACTTTGCGTGGAGATAAATGCTGTGCTCCAGCAGGGAGCTGCAGAGCTGGAAATCAAAGACATGGGGAAAGGGCAGCTTGCCAGCCCATCCTGGCAGCGGTACTGGGCATCTTGCCCCAAGGCTCCACCCTGATGTTGCGTCCCCTCCCTCGGGGTGCCAGGGCTGCAGGCCCCCCCCCGAGGACCCAGCCAATGGAGGGGTAGGGAACCCCCAGTCTACCCTCGCGCCCGACCCCATGGTGCACTGGACAGCCGAAGAGAAGGCGCTCATCACTGGCCTCTGGGGCAAGGTCAATGTGGCCGATTGTGGTGCCGAGGCTCTGGCCAGGTAGGTCCAGCTCCCAGGCATCTGCTCAGTTGCACCCTGGACAGAGAAACCACTCCAGTCACAGGAGTATTCATGTGTCTGCCTGTGTCCCTCCATCTCTCCCCAGGCTGCTAATCGTCTACCCCTGGACCCAGAGGTTCTTCTCTTCCTTTGGAGACCTCTCCAGCCCCGCTGCCGTCCTTGGCAACCCCAAGGTCCGTGCCCACGGCAAGAAAGTGCTCACCTCCTTCGGGGAAGCCGTCAAGAACCTGGACAACATCAAGAACACCTTCGCCCAGCTGTCCGAGCTGCACTGTGACAAGCTGCACGTGGACCCCGAGAACTTCAGGGTGAGCCCCGCTCCCAACCAGGGGACCCGTCCTCCCCAGCATGTCTCTGTGGGTGGTTTCTCCCCCAACCTTGATCCCCTCCATGTGAGGGGTTTACATGAGACACCCCCGTGAAGGAGGAAGAGGGGCTGGTGGTTGGGGCGATGGGCAGATGCAGGGGGGGGAAGGGACCAGGCTGCCGGTT